GGTCCTGGTACTTGGTGGCTTTCCGCTCATAGGCCACCTCACACCCGTCTTCCCACGGCACCGTCAGTTCAATTAGGATTATCTTCCTTGCCTCCTCAGACCAAAGGACCATGTCCGGCCTCAGCGATGTTTGCACAACCTGGGGGAAGACTAGTTTCCTTCCCAGGTCCACCCTCATCTCCCAGGATTGTGCTGTTTGCAAGAGGCTCTTTTTCCTCCTCTTGGGGGCTGGTGGTTTCTCCCCTTCTCTAATGAACTGAATGAATGTTGCCGGCCTTGTACTGTTCTGGCGCTTTCTCTGCCTCTCCCGCTCCAAGATGTCAGCCAGTTCACCGAGAACCTTGTCATGGCGCCACCTGTATCTTCCTTGGCTAAGAGCTGTTTTGCATCCTGCCAGTATGTGCGCCATTGTTCCCCTCCCTCCGCATAGCCTACACAATGGGTCCTCCCTCATTCCCCACCTGTGGAGGTTTGTTGGTGATGGAAGGGTGTCGTAAACTGAACGGAGTAGGAAGGAGATGCGAAAGGGCTCTAGTCTCCAGATCTCAGGCCACGTGATCTTCCGCTTCGGCAGGTCCCACTTTGTCCAGGCACCTTGTGCTCCAAGCTCGACGGCCCTAGACCTGCGCCTTTCTTCCTCCAGGTGTCGGACCTCGGCTTGAATCATGTCCCTCCTCTGCCTTGGGTCTGCTTTACCCCACTGCTGGAAGTGTGTGGACCCGAGTCCTTGCCTCCCTACGCATGGGTTCCCGATGATGTCCTTCAGCTTCAATGCGCTTTCTGCTTGCGCCACTGATGTGTCAGCCGCCCATTTGCGTCCTGATCTCGTAGTGACGCCTGCTTCTCTGACTTTTTCATCATTGGAGTCTTGGTACATCATCACGACCCGGCACTTTGCCACCTTGAACTCTTCCACCACTGATGATAGGGGTAGCTGTACCTGACCAGACCTGGTGTAAAGCCCTACTGACGTGAAGCTTGGTGGGATTCCGAGCCACTTGCGAAGGTGTTTGTTCACTCGCCTCTCGACTCCTTCCACTGCTGTCATAGGTACTTCATAAAGTGTCAGTAGCCACATGAGTCGTGGTAACAGACCGTGCTGGAAGAGCCAGGTCTTGAACTTTCCTTGTAGTCCTGACCCCTCGATCTTACTCAGCCATGCATCTGCCTGTTTCTCTGTCCTAGAAACGTTGCATCTGTCGGTCAGGGATGCATCGTACCATTTCCCTAGGCACTTAATTGGGTTTTCCTCAATTGATGGAATCATCTCCCCCTGTACTCGCAACTGGAACTTGCTGGTCACTTTTCCACTTCTGATCACCATACTTCTTGATTTTTGATACACAAGTATTTGATACTTGAAGAGTTCTGTAGCATTAGATGGGAGTAGGTTCTCTAGAGCTATGCGAAGCCGTGCAAACTCACTGGGATCCAGGTGAATGAACTTTGGGATTGTGGGTTGGGGCCCTCGATACACTTGTTCATTCCCTGGTGGCTGCATAAACTGATTAGGTGGCGGAATGCCATGTTCTGCTCCAGTAGCTGCTAAGGGATGGTAGGTTCGAGCAGGCGCTGACCGCATTAAAGGTGCATGGGCTGGGGCAGGGTGTGTGAGCAGCTGAGAGGGTCGTGTAGAGAGGTATGGTGACATCCCTTTGCCAGAAGCAGGAGCGGGATGCTGAGGAGGCAGTGGAGGCTTACAAGGCATACATACTCTAGCTTCAGGGGCAAATTCGAGTTGGCTACTATCTAGCCCTTGTTCCTCGAGATTGCACATGCCTCTCGACAAGTTCTCATCAGGTTCCGACCAGGGTGGAGGATCAGGCCATTCCTCCTCCTCCATTTCCTTTGAGTGTGCTGCAACAGCGAAAATCCTTGAGGCTACAGCACCGGCTTGTGGAGATCTGGGGTTACTGTAGTTTGAGGCTGGGCTATTAACTTGGGCCAGGTCTGCTCTCAGTGAGAGGGCTACCTCCAGTAGTTCTTTCATCTCACGCCGTGCTTCATTGAGTTACTTTATGCCAGTCTGGAAGGCCTGTTGTGTTTGGAGCAGCTTAGTATAATTCTCCTCTCGAATAGCTCTGATTTCCTCCGGGAAACGAGGATCCATATACGGGCTCTGATGGAATGAGGGTGTTCACGCAGGCTGGATAAACCCATCCAAATCTCTCCTCTGGCGGTGGTCTGGCGCTAGCTGAGGAATCTCAGGGTGAGCAGCATTCCCAGGAAAGCCACTAGAGTGAGGGTGGGCTGTCTGGAAGGGAGTCATCTGGTCTGGACCCTCCCGAGTGAGGAACACCCTCCTATCCAAGGCAGGGGACGGCAGGCCCCATTGTAACTGATCTCGTTGACTATATCCCATATAGTCCACTTCGAAGTCCTGAAGTCTGGCAGGTTGACATATTTGACGTTTGGGTCTCACATCAGGATACATCTCTTCATCTGACTCCATCCTGAATACTGCTATCCGGCTTGAAGGACCAATGTTAGTGAGGTAATCAAGTAGGGCTAGTTCATCAAGGTTTTCAGCCAGTAAACAGGATGGTGTATCGGTCAGGACACAGGAATAAAGACGAGGAGATGTAATTTCCTTTTTCTTTTAACTGTATTGAGCTCCAGCAGTACTCATCAGAACATTCCAATATCCAGCATTGTCATTATAGTTTTTCGTCATTAACTCAACACATGGAATATTGGAAGCTGGATCATTCAGGAGGAACTAAAGAGGCAACTCAACACAGATACGTGATCTAAAGTATGCTGTTGAACTTGAACACGTTTCCGTTCCCACTATAGCCAACACACTAGCTACACACTTCCCTTACCGTAACCACAGAAGAAGCGTCTTAAAGCGGCAGGCACCCAGAAATGTCAGAGCCTTTTATACAGTGACATATATCTGAGTGAAACGGCTTCTCGAACAAGGAAAAAAATTTACCGAAAAACTTGTCATTGGAGAAGAGAAGAGATGTCGCTGCAAGAGGGAGGGAAAGTTATTATGATTCAAGTATATGAGGGCACATGAATTAAAAAAAAAGATGTGCACGAATAAATCATTTATAATAAATACTGCAATATTCCATAAAAAATAAGAATTCAGAATTTTGATTTCATGGTGACTTTAAAGAAAAGGGGAGACTTTAATTGAAATGCCACAAATAGGTTAACTACTCTACTTAACTGGAATATTCCTAAACTTATGTGAGCAGAATGTGCAGCAGCAAATAACATTTTGTACATCTTGTACAACACAGTCCTGTTTCTTACACAGTTCTTACTGATGGCCAGGATGTGCATGTTTATTGACATAGTGTACACTGTTTTTCTATGGTGATCTCCTTCCATCTTAGAGGCTCACAAGTTCAACTGAACTACACCCAAACCTATATTTTCCCTTTTTTCTCCCAAATATTTTTCCTAGGTCTTGGACAACATGGTGAAGCTAATACAGTTGTACTGTTACCTCCTCAATGAGCATCAAATAATGTTTTATTTCCAGTAAGCTCAAATAACACAAAACTAACAATTTTCCGAAGCCGACATACTATTCGACATACTTTGGTAACCAGACAGTTGACGGCACCCATTGACTTCCATAATGTTTTTTCCTACTATGGAAGTCAGTGGGTGCCGTGAACTGTTTGATTACCAACATTCTCTAAACTATCTTCTTTTGTGTTCAACAGAAGAAATAAACATATACAGGTTTGAAACAACATGAGTAAATTATGACAAAATGTTAATTTTTGGGTGAACTATCCCTTTAAGAGTATTTTCCATTATCACAAAATAAACCCCGACAGGGTAATCAGGACACTGACGTTTTTTTTGTGTGTGATAATGCCCGGCTGGTTGTACAGTAGGCTACATTATCTTGCTTACCAAATACATAAATGGACATCAAATATTGATCTGAGCTGAAATTATTTTATTATGTGAGAGTAAAGAGACCGCAGAGCATCCACGATCACTAAATTCAATCAATCAAGGTGATTGAGTTCAGTACTCTTTGTACTTAACATTAAACTACACAGTAGCCTATGGAGAGGTTGTAGATTTAACTTACATTTGAAGTAGCTAAATATGGGAATTTATTATATGCATACATATATATATGTAGTATGAAAATTTTCAATGCTGTGCATATAATTTCATGTCGATACATTCTCTAGAATATAATGTTTTTAAAAAAAATATATATATATATATATAATATGCAAAGTGCACTATAATGTTTAGAGCGCGGGCTGTTACTCTCAGTCCGTGGTTCCAGTCCATATTTCCCCTGTGCTCTATCTGCCTCTCTGGCAGATCTTGTTTACTGGCGCAAAGACAGGAAAGGGGATCCTCGAGCGAGGGGATAAGTCAATGCACTAGCTACAACCAGCGTGTGGACTTAATAAAAACACACATTTGTTCGTGCATTTTTATTCTCCTCTTTTTCTCCGCGAGAGTGTTACAGACTAGTCAGTGACCTCTGCGGAACCAGCTTCACTTCGTTATATTGATCTTTGAGGCGCTCGCCAGCAAAGCGACGTAGAAAGACTGCATGAGTGGAACATTTGTGCTTGGAACTTGGAAGTGTCGCGGAAACCTCAGCGTTCTGCAGTGTTTTTGCAGACGCCCCCAGAACTGCTACGATTCACTAGGCTGTCAGTTTACAGGCTATAATGAGGAGTAGTACGGAGAAACTACTGCGTGTAGTCCCATGACCCGTAAACGCACTACGGCGAAAGCTCGCTGTCAGCAGGGACTTTGAAAAAGTAGCCTACATACTGTAATCCGCCCATCACGAACCTGGAAATCTTGAACATTTTGCGAGAGCACTATCTGCAACTTATGAGTCTGTAAAGCGTTTATTATAACTACAAGGTCTTTCCTTTTGAAAAATAAATCGAAACATAGCAACAAAAAAGTCTATCGTGCAAATGCTCAATTGATTATTTTGGCCTGCGCTCTGTGTGCGCAGCCATTCCTCCCCGTGCTTTAACAGTGTTTTTTCTTTTTTTCCTCTCGCCAAGGCTCGGTTGGAGCAATCTGCGCAAATGCTGGACAAATATATGCAATCGATCGGAAATGATTCGGCTGCTCATCGTAGATGATGCCGCCCGCATACTTTATTCGTGTGGATTGTTTTACACTGAATGAAAGTCGCCGCACGCGCTGTCATTAGCTTAGCGCTCGAGCCTTCATATCAGCAGCAGCATCCGTCAGTGCGCGCGCGGAGCAGCAGCGCGAGCGGATTGAACACGTTGAACTTTCCTCTCCGCCCATTTTTTTCTGAGGGGGGTGACAAAGGTCTTTTTTTCTTTTCTTTTTAATTTTTATGTTCCAAAATAACACCGGACTATTAAAACCTAATAGTACCCACACGAAGACAATTCGGAGGGGATTTTCGTACAGACTTTCGGCTTCCCTGGGGTCAAAATGCGGCTGCGGACTTTGATTGTTTTGGTTGCGTCTGTCTACACTGTTTGCCACTGTCAACAAACAAATGGAGAAAGTAAGTGTAACTTAACGGCTTTGTTTTGTCTTTAACATGAACACGGATTTAATATTCTAGGAGTCTTGTCTGTTTTTCAAATGTTATTCTATAAACGTTATCGACCACTCTGAAAGGGAAAAGGGGATCGTAGTTCTTGACCACTGTGAGTGTGACACATTTGGTAAAGCAGAGCCAGACAGAAGGACATTGCAGGGCAAGGGACGAGTAAATCAAATATTGCATCGTTTTGATTTCGATTAATCATTTCAGACTGGCTTTAATGACACGGTCGATTATACGGAGTGTGTGTCTTGAACCTAAAGCCAGATTTATCGATCGTTTGAGGACAGCATTGATCTATTCGTAGCTCGAACTGCTAGTAAGGCTCGGAAATGTTTTTCAAGTTCAGCCAGGCCCCTGTTTCATGCAGCCATTTGCAGCGTTGACAGAGTTGCAAGAGGATTTTAAATCCTAATCAGATAAATCGAGACCTATAGACCCGTATTTTTATTTATTGTTCAAAGAAATCATGAAACCTGACTATGATCAGGTTCCAAACTTTTAGAGTTTGGAAAGTGCATTTACTTTGGCAGAAAAGTTATACTAGAGCTCTCAGATTTCCTTTTAAAATTTTGCTTTCAGTACAATAAAACTACTGTAGATTGATATCACCAGGGCACAAATTTTATTAGCAATCTGACTTAGTCAGAAATGTTCTGTAAACACCGAGGCAGTCAATGCGGAACATATGATCAATAAGTCTTCATTTATCACTTATTTTATGCATTGATCAACTCAAGGCAGTGCAGTTTTAAGACCTGTTACATGAATAGAAAATGTTGTTTAATGCAGAATAATAGATTAATGTAGTTTATGCCTGATTATTACTATTTGTACGGAGATATTTCAATGTATAGTAAATAGTTTAATACTTATTAAATGCTTAATATAGTTAATATGTAACTTTTGTATTAAAACTTTATATAAAACACATGCCATAAACTTGCTGGTAATTGTTTTTTAATGAGGCAGTACATTCGTGATCTAAATTGTTGTGTAATTAGGTACCACTTGTTGTTTTCTTTTTTTAGTGTTCTTGGAAGACTTCCTGCAACAGCTAAATAAATATAAGCATGCTTTTGACACACTTGGCTGTGTTCAGCTCCTAACAAAACATTGGCTTCTCTTCAGTTCACCCAACAAATGAGTTTTAACATATATTTTTTGGGAAAATTAAACATTAGTAGTATTTTTGTGTGTGGATGAAACCAAATGAAATACTCAATGTTGCATTTCATTATAATGAGACTTTAAGACAATTTCGGGCTTTATTTGTTGATTTGTGAGCAGTTTTAAACCCTAAGCACATTTTCTTATCTTGTTGTGCTGCGGATTTCTAAATATAGCCTTGGTTTGGATGAAATTTATGCATTCAAAGTTCTGCCAGTTTCCATTTTGGGACTCTCTTCCAAGTGTCTGGCGGTTAGACTACTGTATGTCAGAGCAGTACTACGCGTAAAAGCTATACTAGGTTTTAGGTTAAGGTCTACAGAAGTTTGAAAAGCTAATAACAAACACTGCATGGAAAGTTACGAATGAACAGACTGTTGGTCCCTTTCTGTCTGTAATAATCTGATGTGGCTTTAATCAGCCTTTTAATTCTTATTACACTGTAGGCCCCTTTAGAATATAGGCTATACCTTTTAGTACTGATATTAATTCTTGCTTATTTAAAATGTTGCTTGGCTATATTATCTGTATCGTCAATAAAATCGGTAAGATCTCATTCCCAGGTAATGTGAAAGGAACATATTTGAAGTGCGTTGCGTCTATGTGTTTTGCCACAACATAGTTTTTAGTAGTAGGTAAGTTAACACCTGAGGGTGCATGCTACCTTTTTATTAAAATAAAAGGATTGAGTAATATCATGAAACCAGTTTGTGCGGGATTTTAAGAGCAGATTGAACATAAACAAGTTGTGTAATTGTTTGCCCCCTTCTTGTTCCTCTCAGGCTTGTAGTGAACCACTGTAGGGAAGAGTGAAACTATTTTGGGGCCTCAGTTCAACCCTGCCAGACTGGAAATCTGCGCAGAGCCCAGCTCATTTTGGAACATTTATTAATGCAAAGTTAAACATCTGACTTGCATACACTGGTGTTAAAATCTTTGATCAATTTTCTGTTTTAATGTCCCCCCATTTCAAATTATAATCTGTGAGTAAAAATAATTATTAACAAGAATGTCTTTGAATGAATTTGTTTTTTTTGGCCCTTTTGCTTTAATGACAGCAGCACACAAACTGCGTGAATTCCCCAAATAAAAGCTGATGATCATGTTTTGATGTTTCACAGCTTGATTTGAGAATGTTCCAGAGAGCATCTTGTACTTAAATGGAAACAAGGACATCTGACCTTTTGTATATCACAAATATCACACATTTCTTTATTTGATTATTGACTTCGAAATAATGCAAAATGTAAATGATTTATTCAGTGTGTCATAATTTTTCTCAGTTAATTTGTTTTTAGATTTTGAGTCCCAGATTTGACTATATATTATTAACAGCAAATCCTTTTTGTGCATTTTGCATTTTTTCATGCTTAATTTCAATCTAAAAGGAATGCTCTCCTGTACTGTAAATGCTAAATTAAAAATATAGTATATAAATTCACTTATAGTTGGCAAATGCTGTCTACAAGACAAGTCTTATTTTACTACCTGTATTCCTGCTAGTCAGTCTGTAAGTTTTTATTTGAGCAAACTAATAGTACAGCTGTCACTCTTAAAATTCTTCTGTCAGTCTTGTCCTTACAGACACGGAAAGCATATGACAACATAATTTATACCTCTACAGACTAGAATTCGAAACCGTTTGACTCAATCACCTGCCTGGTTGGTTACATTACTAATATCCAAAAACAGGTCATGTAATTTTGTAATTGCTATGTTCACATTGTTCAGCCTTGTGCATTCCTGGCTGACATGACATGACCACTTCAGCTATGAGAAATCATTTCAGATGTACTTGCTGCACCTTGTAGCCACACCACTGTGTTCTCAGTGTTTCCTGATTGCGTACAATTCAGTTTCTATTATGATTCCCCTTGTGATCACCTCACACCTCATTCAGTCTGTTCGAGCCACATTATAACCTTCCCTTTAAGAGCTGTTATTTGTTCTGTTTTGAAGTCCGTCATGGCTGTTCAGGTGGTTTTATTGTCTCACAAGGAGGTTACTTAGTAATGCACAGTTTTTTGCTAGGCTATATCATTGTAAGTGGTTTACAGATATTTGTAACAAGTCTGATTGTGCGTCACCCATTAAATCTTGTTTGAATTCAGGGCTTTTATCAATTTAAGGCTCATTAATCCTTTTTTTTAAAAGCACATTTATGGGTGATTTGTAATGCAAAATGTTTAATATATCAAATCTAATGTAATTCCCAACCTTCGAGCAATTGTAATTTCACGTGCAGCTTGCCTCTCACAAGTTTTCTTTTCTCTCACAAGATCTTTTAAAATTGATTCAGATTGTTGCAGACTCAAATCGGAACTTATTCTGCTCATGCAAATTCATGAGCAGCAACTGTTAGACTCCCTTTTTTCTCCGTATTTTAAGTGTATGGGCAGAGACTTACACAGTTTAACGGTGGGAACTCTCCCAGTAATATTGTTCTTCTCACCCAGTTTGAGGACACCACAGCAGCTGGTGTGCAGGTGCATCTTTAAATCATCCCATGCATGTCTAGACTCTCTTCTCCTCTCGCTGTTATTGGTTGCCCAATATAATTCTGTGTGCTAAATTTATTTTCTGTAACCTTTGTTGCAGCATTTTCTGAGCAGGGGGTTGTTAGCGTCAATGGTGTCACTTTTATGCCCCCAACTTATACACAAATAATGCCTAAATATGCTGTAATATGCTTTAAAATATAAAAGAGATATGAAGGGTGTTCCATAATTGTAGTCTGGCCTGATGCACAAAGCATGTCCATGACTGTTATGAAATTGTTTGATGTTATTTTTAATGCTTTGAGATAAAATGTACATTAATGTGTTACTTTCTTAAAAAGCCAAATTGTTCAAATTACAATTTGGTTTTATTGGGTGAACCCTCAAAGAGGAAGTGGGAGAAGAGGCGTGGAGACACGCCTAATTTTAAGACTTCTGCTTTTATATGGTCATACAGTTCCTCCCTGTGTCCTGGTTTAAATGTTTGCCATTGTTTGTCTTGTTTCAAAGGAAAGTGAATACTTTGTGTGGTTTGGCCTTTTGCCGCATTTAATATTTTTTCATTCAAGAACATTTGCGTTATAAATCATTTGATTTATTTTGATCTCTTAATGGTGCCTGCTAAGGCAAACACACTTATGCAGATTGAATGCAGATTTCAATCAATATGTCAGGTCTGAATATACTTTTCAGGTCTGTAACAAAGCAGACTAGCTTTTCCGTTTGAACATTGCCATAAATCATTCACTACCTCAGTTAAGTGCCTTTACTTCTTTAAACATTTTCTTTTATTCTTGTCAAAACTTATTTTAAACCTAAATTTTACTTTAAATTGAACTTTAAACTGGTTAAAAGTTACAATCTATGTGTTTTAAAATGAAAACTGCTTTTACTTATGTTATTTTAGGTGTTGATAATTGTTTTATTTATTTAACACTTTTTAAAAACTTGTTCTCTATTTCTAGTTGCTTTGAGAATATAAATGTAATTATATATAAATAATTTTATATAATGTAATTTAATGTATTAAGTAATTGAATGTTTGTCTTTAAAACAAATTTAATCTACATACCATACATGGTTGTTTGTGGTTTTCCACATAAAAAAAATCCGTTAAACTGAAGCATCATCTCTTAAATTAATGCATGCTTGTTACTTGCATTACTCACCATTTGATGTTCAGTGTTTAAGTTTAGCTAGAGCGTCTTTCAGGGATTCACTGTATAAAATAAATGACTACACACAGTCAACCAGGACACGTCTCTCTTAACTCTGCTGCCCTTCCTTTCATGTGCTTCAATGCTACTCTTTTCTAGTGCCAGGCACCCCATTTGTACATAGTGTATTAGGAGTGTGGTGCTAAAAATAAGTGTTAGTGTAAAGGTATTGCACATTATGTGTGTGTGTGTGTGATATAGAGAGAGAGGACACGCATGTCAGTAGGGTTATACTACGCATTTCAGCTTCCTTGTGCTCCAAAACTTCCGGACTGCCATATTCATGAATCCCTGTGGTGGGGCCACTGTTATAACTAGTGTAAACAAGTAGCCAGCGCAAGGTATTTTTGACCTTTCCAATGCCTCATGCTTTGACTGCCCAGTGTTTGAAAGGTCTCAGTTATGCATAGGCTGACCGCACATCAGAGTTCATGTATGCGTGTAATTCGTGTAAACCATTGTGGAATCTTTAAAGTCCTGAGCAGTGGGGGCATTTTTCATTTAAAAGGGACCAGGGCACTAACAGGAAACAATAGTCTCTAATTAGTTATGTAACAGTCTGGAAGTAGAACTTATGTGTTCATGTTGTTGTAACCTCTATTTAATTGCGCAGTTGTGTTATTTGTTGTCTGTTAATTTTTGCATCATTTTTTTGTTTTGTTTTAGTCTTTTAAAGAAACTCATAGTTTCATAGTCTTTTGAAGAAAGAAACTCATTAATTTTAGTCTATTTTAATCTGACCACTTGATACAATTATTATTATCCATCGATTGATCAATCGATCAATTCATCTATGGGTTTTGCCTAAAACCTTAAACCAGTGGTTCCCAAACTGGGGTACGTGAGATGGGTATGTGAACAAAATGCTGTTCGTTTCTTTTTTGCCGTTTTTTTGCCGTTCGTTTCATTCTACCCCACCTTAAAATAACATTAAAACCGAGCATGTATTTCTAACAGGCAAAATGGCGTAAAAGGTGAAATACTTGACATCCAATCAAATTGCCTCATCTTTTGCAGTCAAAACTGACTGCATCCACACTGAAGAAGTGTGGATATGATAGGTTGTGTGCAGAGTATGCTGCCTTAGCAAGTTGCACTACATTTCTGCCGTACTTAACAATGCACCTTTGTAAAAGTGGGAATTCAGCACGTATTAGCATGAAGAACAAATATAGTCACAGACTGTGCTTGCAGATCTATTTCAAATCTTAAACTCTATCTCAAACTCTCTTCCATACAAAAACATACTCTGCGTGAGTTCTTGGTTGTAAAGTTGATAATATATTATATGAGCAAGAATGCAATTTTTCCCAAATATGACTGATTTCATACAACAGTTCAACAAACAAAATGGTCATGTTAAGTGATGTAGTATTGTTTGCTCAATTTCGCAATGAAATAATAGTTCCAACGAAAGCCACAGCAGAACTGTAACACACCGCAGTGTTTGTGAATGAATCTGCGGCTTTGAACGAATCGTGAGAGTCAATTATGGAAGTAAAATAATCCCAAATGTTTTTGAAACAAAAAGCCTGTTGAATTGTACTACTTGAAAAAAATATGCATTGCATTAACCCTGCTTGTATTTTAATGCATTGTATTTTTAGGGCTTGAATTTTATAGGCTGAAATTTAGCATGGTTGAATATTTAAGCTGTGAATATTTCAAATCAAATCATTTCAAACACATTTTCATTAGTAAAATTTCAATAATCCATATTCACCTTTCATATTTCATATCCCAAATATTCAAACTGATTAAAAATACAACCTATAATATTCAACAGGCGGTTTTCGGTCCATTTTATTTCGCTTTGCAAATTCGCTTCCACAAATTCAGTGGTTCAAATTCGACAGTAAATTCAACATTGACATCCAGGAGCTGCAGGAAAAGTAGTAGATTACCGAGCATAATCTCCATCTGCTGTTAGTCGACCACACCAGCAGGGGGTGCAAGCGCGTGTTGTTGACGAAGACCAGAGCAACAGTTAGTGCAAGCCATTCATTCATAAAAACTTATTTGCAAAAATGTAAGTGTATTTGTGATTATTATGACGTCTGTTTTACGTGAAATTCAGTGTGTTCACGATTACTTTTCCTGTGTAGCCTAAGTTACATGCATCTTTCTCTACCATGAACGATAATGTTATTCCCCCGATGCGGATGTACAGATCCAGTGTTACATTTGACATATTTCTCTTGGTTGTTTAGTTGCCTTAACCTTATATTGCAGCGATGTGCTGCATGCAGTACTAGGGTTTGGTTTCCCTCAATATGTCAGGATTCCCCTGCTGGACATATAAAACGCTTAACGTAACTTAATGGACATAAAAGACCAAACTCGCAGGCTAGCAGATGGACTCAGAATATGAATTTAACGCGCAAAGTTTAATGCTGAGCGTTTCCCAGTGATATACTGGCATAAATTTGGTTTGACATTGGACATTCGCACATTTAGGGACCGTCTCTAAAGTTACATACGAAATTGGTATACACGTTTCTAACTTAAATAACATTTGAAAAGAACGACTTACAGTCATAAAGCCAACTGTAAAGTGTTCATGTAGGTGTCAGGCTCAGGCATAATGCGCAATTTATTCAAATAGATTGAAGTTAGAAACGTTTAGGCCTATAGGACTTGTTACTTTAGAGACGGTCCCTAAATGTGCGAATGTCAACCCAATTTTACATTTAGTCTTTTAGCTGGCACTTTTATCCAAAGCGACTAGTTAAACTAACAATATAGAACAACAATATGAAAGTGCTACTTCCCAGTTTAATCTAATGCAGTACATGTACAATACATACTTTCCAAATAAGGTGCGAGTTTGGTCTTTTATATCACTGTAGTCCATTAAGCTACGTTAAGCGCTTTGTCCTGACGGAATTCGGGGAATCTTTGAGTATGATGATGTAGGCCTATTGAGGGAAACAGATTATAATCCCATTCACTGTAGAAAAGGCTGATAACATAAGGCTACACAGGGAAAGTAACAATGAATGAAACATAAAAACAGCTTTTGTGCCTTTATCATCTTTTCCGCATATATACTGACCCAGATAATCGTCACAAAAAACATAATGCATGCTGAGTTTTTATGAATGAATGGCTTGCGCTAACTGTTGCTCTGGTCTTCGTCAACAACACGCGCTTGCACCCCCTGCTGGTGTGGTCGACTAACAGCAGATGGAGATTATGCTCCGTAATCTACTGCTTTTCCTGCAGCTCCTGGATGTCAACGTTGAATTTACTGTCGAATTTGAACCACTGAATTTGTGGAAGCGAATTTGCAAAGCGAAATAAAATGGACCGAAAACCGCCTGTTGAATATTATAGGTTGTATTTTTAATCAGTTTGAATATTTGGGAAATGAAATATGAAAGGTGAATATGGATTATTGAAATTTTACTAATGAAAATGTGTTTGAAATGATTTGATTTGAAATATTCACAGCTTAAATATTCAACCATGCTAAATTTCAGCCTATAAAAATACAAGCCCTAAAAATACAATGCATTAAAATACAAGCAGGGTTAATGCAATGCATATTTTTTTCAAGTAGTACAATTCAACAGGCTTTTTGTTTCAAAAACATTTGGGATTATTTTACTTCCATAGTCAATGATTCAATGACCCATTCATAAATACAGCCACTTGCTTCGTTACTAAGTGAATAAATGTCTTGCCACCGCCTACTGGCGGTTTTAGTAAATATTTAAAAGTATTACTTCGTTTTTACCATCATTGCATATTTCTCTATTAAACATTTTTTATTTAAAACATTATTTATTTTAGAAAGGTAAAAAATGCACTAAAAAATCAATTTAAGGGGGCAGATATTGTCCCCTGCAGAAGGATGTTAAATGCCTCGGGGTACGCCACTTTAAAAAGTTTGGGAACCACTTCCTTAGACAAAGCATTCACCTGAAACGCATCTCTGAAGGAAGAGCTTTTATTATCTTCATTAACCATGTTAGGTCATATGGAAGGTATCAGCTCAAAGGGAAAATTTAACAGTGCGACAGAAAACTTCATGTAGTTCTAATCATTTTTTATGGTTCTGTATATGATCTCCTTTATTGGTTTCTATACAATACATTTTTGCATTCCTTGTTTGTTTTTGATCTTTACAGTAAAAATCCTGTTAAATTAAAGGTCATCATCTGTAAGCAATTTTTGCAGAACTTTTGCTGTAGATTTTCACTGAACCAATTAACGTTTCGCTGTCCTTTTTGTCGTTGCAGTTTGCCCAAGTAAAGACATCAGAAATAACGTGACCAACCTACGGGTGCTGGAGAACTGCACTGTGATCGAAGGCCACTTAAAGATCCTGCTTATGTTCACGACTAAACCAGAGGATTTCCGTGGCCTGAGTTACCCTAAGCTGACAGTAGTGACAGACTACCTGCTCCTGTTCCGTGTCTATGGCTTGGAGAGCCTCAGCGACCTGTTTCCCAACCTCACGGTGGTGCGAGGAAATAATCTCTTCTTCAACTATGCACTCGTGCTGTTCGAGATGCTGCAGCTGAAGGAGATCGGCCTTCACAGTCTGATGAATATCACCCGTGGTGCCGTGCGCGTGGAGAAGAACCCTGACCTCTGCTACCTCTCCACCCTCGACTGGTCCATGATCCTTGACTCGGTGGAGGACAACTACATCGTGGCCAATAAGAATGATCGTGAGTGCGGAGACGTCTGCCCCGGCACGGTTCTGGGCAAAACCACCTGCCCCCTCACCACCATCAACGGGGACTTCAGCGAGCGCTGCTGGAACCAGAAGCATTGCCAGAGAAGTATGTAACCTTAAGTACTTCTTTTTATTTAATTTTTGTACTTTCAAACCATCACCCAGAATATATTTACACCCTCAAGAAGAATCCTACCCATTTTCTCCTCCCCCTTATTAGCAGATAATCATTTCAAATCTTCGTTTTCACTGGCACATAAGGGTAAAAATATTTACATTACCATAGAGTCTTGAGATGTTTTGAGAAGTGAGCGGAAAGTTGTCAGGCCTTTGTGTGTGACAGACTGTGTTGGCAGTACTTTTGCTGGTTACTTTTAGCAATAGTGATGGCCAACACCAACCATGCTGGAAGCAACAAGTCAGGTGATCAGCTGCAGTTAAGTAAGCCAAGTTTCTGTGTCAAAGCATGAACCATGTTCCAGATTATGACGCAACCACCCTGTTTGTGCAGTAGTTCGGGGTGTGGGTGGTGCTTTGTGTAGCTGTTTGTGTTTTTAACCTGACAGGATCAGTTGGAGTGACCTGTCGCACATTATAATCTACACTGAGATGAGGCTGTCTGCAACAGTTTGGTTCATCCATTCAATTCGAAGTGCCGAGGAGTGTGAGTTTGAACATACGGAAGAACTTTGTATATTGGAGCAAAGCCCTTGAGCTTGCACAATTACGTAACACATGGGACACATCATGCAACTGTTCTTTGGACCAGGTATATGGTGTCATGTGTGTCTGAAGGCATGATCCTGTTCTGTTTGGCAGTGGTCTTTCTGCAGCCCCATTTAAAAAAGAAAAGACGTTCCTCTCTGGCTGTTTTTGCTTAGGCAGGTGTGAGCAATTAGTTTTCAGGCAAAAATAGATACATAGAGGTGGGCTATTTTGACTTACAGATCATTTAAACCACATAGCAACATGCTAAAACCATTCTCAACTCATCAACTTTTCAATAACAAGACAGCTAATTTTCGTAACTCTGCTTTATCTGTTTAGTGGAGTTGAGGGACAGACTGCCTGGAGGTGATTAATGCTGGAGGAAGGATTGGCTGAAGTCCTTGTTAAGTACTTTGATAAAATCCTTGTTCGGGCTGCTTTGACTCATGTCTGCTGAGTTGCAGTTGGACAGTTGGGGATGGAGTTTTTTGGCCAAAAGCACAGATTAAAAAAGTATTATCTAGTGATAGAATCAGTCCCGGCCTGCTGCTTGGTTAGTGGTGAAGGACTTGTGGTTAGGGGTCCAATATTGCTGAGAGTCTGCAGCAACTTATAAAACCACAGAGCACTAAAGAGCAAAGAGATACTGGCAGATGAATGTTGTTTTCAAACAGCTTTGATTTGTGTATGTTGCACAGACCTCATAGTGTTTGTTGTGTGTACCACAAGAATTATATTCTCCGTCTATAATGGATTGGATTATGAAGGTAGTGAATCCGTAAAGTGCCTTTTTGGATTTTTTTTGTGTGGATTTTGCCAGAAAGTGGCGGAATGTGTAGAGTGAGTATATTTTGTGCAGCTTTATGAGGTTTTCTTTTCTGCCATTTGGCACTTGACATCAAGAGCTGTTGTTGCAATGCCTTAAGACATCAGCAATTACATTATACATATCTTTTACATATAAATTTTAACCTAAAATACTCTTGGGGAAAAAGCACTATGTTTTCAGTGCCTTAGCGACATAATACCAGATAAAATTGGGCCACTGACATCAGTCATGGTTGATCCGATCACAGGTGGTTGGCCGAGAGAGACTGTTTACTCTTGGCATTGGCATCACAGATATGTCTCTTGTGACCACTTGTAATCAGATTTTGTTGAGAGGAGAGCCTTTAGATTCATAGCTGCATACATCACTTACTATATCAGTATATTGGTGCATAACAAAGACATAGAAAGACACTGTTGCTCTCAAATATATTTAAAACATTTTTACATTAAAATACAGGCACAGTGTTTATAATTTTAATCAAGCATTAGTATTATGTAATTCATTCATCTTATGCAGAAGTAAGCTATCTTCTGTGAATGTGCGAGACTTATGATTCATTAGCGGCTATAGGTAAATAACTAGAAGAATATTAAAGTGCAGTGAACGGTAAAACTATGTGCGCTTCAAACTAAGCAGTGTATTTATCAATATGATAATAAATTAAAATAATATAATGACAAATACCAGTTTCCAGTATCAAACAGACACAGGAAGCCTTGCACATTCAAGTTAAAAATGGCAAATACATTAATCAATTTAGAGGAGGATTTTATCCAAAACAACTGATCTGTCACAGCGATAATTTGCTTATTAGTTAATTATGTCACTGCATACAGCATAGTGAAGATGTTTTGTGAAGTCTGTTTATGTGCAGGCTTTTCCTAAATCGGGACAGTTTTTTTCTTTCTTTAAAAGCTGCATGTAACTGGCCTAGTTTAAATTATACTGTATATATATATATTTATTATTATTTTTGCTCAGTTGTTGATTGGCTGGTGAGGAGAATTGTTTGCGGTTGCTTCGGGATGCAAAATCATTTTGAGTTTCTTTCACTCCAAAAGTGGTTTGAGTAATTACTTACTTTAAGAGGTTTACTTCATTGTTTATTTCATAAAATGTTATTTCTATATTTTATTTCTACATGCAATTTCTTAGTGTTAGCATTATCCAAAGCTTCATGAGGGCTTCTACACAACGTATCGGTTTGACAATGATAAAGTGTTAATCCCTGTGGGATTAAACGGTTAGTAAGATAAATTTTCCTTGCTCGTTAATCCCTCTACATGGAGGACCTCACACATACTCACACTCTCTCACACTCTCTCACACTCTCTCACACTCTCTCACACTCTCTCACTCTCTCTCTCTCTCTCTCTCTCTCTCTCTCTCTCTCTCTCTCTCTCTCTCTCTCTCTCTCTCTCTCTCTCTCTCTCTCTCTCTCTCTCTCTCTCTCTCTCTCTCTCTCTCTCTCTCTCTCTCTCTCTCTCTCTCTCTCTCATTTGCAGAGGTCCCTCTGTCTCCTATGCCTCTATATAATATTGAATCACATTAAGAGCTTTTGTCTCACACATGACTGTCCAGCTGCTGGATTTCAACAGGGATTCAAGCGTGTCCCTCGCCCTCAATCCTGATCCACGTGGAGCGAGTTGCAGAATTGCATTGCTTAATTCTGTCTGTAGGTGATTTGCAGCGAGTGGTTGACTGCAGCCACTCACCCTTTCTTGTGTCTGATCCAGAGAAAGAGGAAAGTTACTGAGGACAGCCAGATCAGCAGGCCTCTTGCACAGCTGCCTCTAAAAGAGGAGGAGAGAAAGAGATAGTGAGAAAGAAGAGACTGTGGTAACTACATGGGGATGTGCTGCCAAAGTCTCTTTTGCAGATTTCCGCGGTTTTGTTGGCAGCCGTACAAAAGTGGTTTTGTTTCATATTTGGAATACTTTTGGAAGTGTTGGCACTGTTTTTTTCCTGAGTAGCTTTGCTCAATGTTGTCTGTTGGAAACAGAAAAATAGATTTAAGTCTATCGCTGTTGAGGAATTAATAAAGTCTAAAGGCAGATGAGGCCCTTTTTTAATGAATGTCGAATGCTCACTTATACCAACCGATCACACTAAACTGAATAACCAAGCATCATTGTGCATCATTGTGTTCAGCTTGTGGGGAACTGAGGCATTAAATAGGCTAATAATAAGGGGCTTTCGCACCGGGTTATAGGAACTCCGTTATAGGAAGTAGCAACCAGGGCAGTCCCCCGAAAACTACATTTTCCCCTAGGGCCCTTTTCCTGGTTGCATTCACACCACCAGTGACGTAAGCCGACTGACGTTATTTAAGCGTGGCATTCAACAACGACAAAATCTACTATGACAACTTGCAGTGCTACATATCATCGAGGCTGAGAAAAGAACACAGGACAAAGACTACAGGTAAATGTAGTAGTTAGCTCTCTAACATTAGCTCTCTGTATGGTCCATCTATCGCTGGTTTCCCATGTTCATAGAGTAAGTATATGTAACAGTGTTTACACAGCTTTTTAAAAATGGAGGGTGCCAATAGTTCTAAAACTATGAGAACATTCCTCTAGTGCGAAAGCACATTAGGTAAACGGGAACCAGTGAAGAACGATGATGTACCTGAATGTTTTATTAAAGATTCTTGTGTAATTGTGTACAGTGCAAATGGGGAGAGCATTGGAGATTTGAGAACAGTTTTAGCCTGTTCTTCAAACCTGTGAAGTTCGCTGTCAGTGTAAAGTCCATGTTTTGTATTAGATCTGTTAGGGGAGCGCCGAGGCTTCTGTTCAGGCTGTCAGCCAGTGCTGAATATGCTGGGCTTCCCCCGGCACTGAATATTTTACACACATTTTAAAATGATCTTCGTTATCTGTCCTCAGAGGGGATTAGAAACACAGCTGGGATGGAGAAACATTAGTTTGACTGAGAGAATAAAAACACACTACATGTAGCTAAATGTTTAAGTTTGTGGCTTAACGTCCACATCCCCAATGACAGATTGCATTTGGCTTAGAGAATTGGCTCATTTTTGATTAGCTAGTACAGTACATTTCTTTTTTTATTATTGAAATAATGAGCTTTGTGTAGCAACTCGTATCCGATTTGCAAGGGTCAGTCTGGGTCATATAGTTAGTCTGTCTGCTTATTCACCCACGGCAATGTGGAGGAAACTACTTTGAAACTGTAGCTATCCAAGCTACTAGCTACACACAATTTAAAGTCATTTAAAGTCTGTCTACCCTTTTAAAAAGTAGTTTACGACACTACAAGCTACTAACAAAGCTACAAGCTCAAAATAGCTCACTGGATGCTACTTAGGGGAGTGTTAATTTAGGGAACAAAGTTATTTAAAGTACAACAGATCAAACATATGATTGACTATGAGATAAGGTATAATTATAATATAAGGTATAAGGAATTTAGTGTAACAATTCCAGTTCCAATTCCTATTTACAATTCTTAACAATATTTTGTTAAAATATTTTTAAAAAATTATATTTAGATAATTTCTATAATAAATAGATTTTTTTTTAAATGGAACTGGTTCTGAAGAA